AATCTTAGACTGTTGTCTGCTGTGGTTGGTTCTCTGTGTGATGTTGTTATGTATGTTAATCTTAGACTGTTGTCTGCTGTGGTTGGTTCTCTGTGCAAAGAACTCCCTTTAGTATTTTTTGTAAGGTTATTCTGCTTTTTACTAATACTTTTAATGTATGTTTATCTGGAAATGTCCTAGTTTCACTGTCATATTTGAGGGACTACTTTGCTGGTTTTATGATACTTATTGACTATTTTTCCTTTCAGAGTTTTATATATTTTACGTATGTCTTCTTGCCTGCATGGTTTCTGCTGAGAAGTAAGAGTCTAGGTCTTACTAGTTCTCCTTTGTAGGTAACATTGTTTTTCCTAAGCTTTTCTCAGGATCCTGCTCTTGTCTTTGGTTTTAAAAAGTTTATTTATTTTGTGGCCTATCCTATTGTGAGTTTGTTCATCTTCTTGCATGCATAAATTCTATTCTTTCATAATGTTAAGGAAGTTTTCTTCTAACCACTCTTTGGCAATTTTTTTCTGTTTATTTTTTTTTCCCCCCTCTTCCTGCTATTCTGCTTTATAATGTTCCACATAAATCTTAGGCTTTCTTTGGATTTTTTTTAACACTGTTTCTGATTGTTCCTCTAGAACAGGGGTGGGGAACATCTAGTCCGCAGGCATGTAAAGCCCTTGAAATCATTTAGTCTGGCCTTGGCAAGGCTACCTCAGTTCCAGCCATCAAATTAGGGATAAGTTAGTTAAATGTTTGACCAAATAGAGCAAACTGCTTTTGTTTTGTTTTTAAGTTTTTATTGTGAATTGAGTGAAAGTTTACAGGAGAGATCATTAGTTTTACATTCAACAAATCATATACTTTGTTTCATTACTATGATTATAATCCCCTCCATGTACCATCAGTTAACAGTACTTCTCTCTATTCATTTTAAATTTTTGTTGTTGTTTTTTTAAACACTCAGGCATATATAATAATTTACAACACCAAAGGACACATTCTGCAAGTCTGCCTCCTGGCCACAAGCTCTTAGTCCCTCTCTTTCCATGAATCTAGAGTCCTCAGGAGCTCCCTGTCTCCATGTCCTCATCTCTACCTCCATCTCTGGTGTCACTGCTTCTCTGGATAAGGTCCCGCACTCCACTTGCAAACTACTTTTTAAGTTGATAATTTTGTATGATTCACAAATGTTGTTATAAATTTTGACAGAAAAAAAGTTTCCCCACCCCTGCTCTAGAAAATGAATATTGGAAGATTTGTCTTCAAGCTTACTATTTCAGCCTACCACGGATTCAATTCTACTTCCTTGCCCTTTCAACGTCTGATCTATTTTTGAAGTCTTAGTATTAATCTTATGACATTCTAATTGCTGTTTGGGGCATGATTTCCAATTTTTCAATTATATTGTCAATTTGTTCTTATAGTGTTTTCCTGATTCCCCCAAAGTTTTATCTGCAGTTTTCTCAATCTGTCTCTCAATCCTTTGAAGGTACTGAAATAGCATTCTTTTAAAATTCCTTATTAAGTAGTTCTGATATCATTTCTGCTATTTTATGGCTCCATATCTATTCCACTTGTTACAGAGGGTCTGCTTGCTGCAACTGCCTACTGGGCCTTCTTACCCCGTAAGTTCTCACTTCCATCATTTTTTTACTGGACTCCCTCTTTTTGTATACTGCCTTTCCCTTTACCCTAGTTAATATGCATCTTCCCTTTAGTGAGTAATTTACCTTAACATCAAAGAATGTTTCTTTTCTTGAGTTTTTATAATAATGGTTTCATACAATATTTGTCCTTTTGTGACTGGCTTATTTTACTCAGCATAATGTCTTCTAGATTCATCCATGTTATAATATGTGTTCCACATATTCAGCATTATTTTTTATGTTACATTGTATTCTGTTGTGTATGGACAATAGTTTGTTTTTCTATTCTTCCACTGATGGACATTTTGGCTGTTCCCATCTTTTTTCTATTATGAATAGTTCTGTGAAGACCATGGGTATGCACATGTCATGGCTCTAAGATATATACCAAGTATTGGGATTGTAGAGTCATACGGTATTTCTATTTCCAACATTTTAATGAAGCACCATATCATTTTCCCAAGGAAATGGATTAGCACAGTGGCAGCAGCGATAGGCTCTAGCATAGCAACAATTGTGAGGTTAGCCCAGAACCAGGCAATGTTTCGTTCTGTTGTGCATAGGGTTGCTATGAGTCAGCACTGACTCGATGGCACCTAAAAACTGCAATATCATTTCCCACATGTTTGCACCATTTTACAGTCTCACCAGTAGTATATGAAGGTTCCAGTCTCTCCATACTCTTGTCAGCACTGTTGTTTCTGTGTTTTTGAATTTTGCCATTAATGTTAGGATTGTTTTGATTTGCATGAATTTCTCTAAGGAACTCTGGTTACGAATCGGGCTGCGAACCGCAAAATCAGCAGTTTGAAACTACCAGCTGTTCCGCATGATGAGGCTTTCTGATCCCGTAAAGATTTACAGCCTTGGAAACCCTGTACAGGGTCGCTATGAGTCGGAACCGACTCCACGGCACACAACCACCACCAATGGTTAATTATCAGGCTGCAATCTGCAAGGTTGGAAGTTCAAACCCATAAAGATTTACAGTCTCAGCAACCCTATGGAGTACTACTCAGAGTTCTACCCTGTCCTTTATAGGGTCATTAGGAGTTGGAATTAGCTTGACAGGAGAGGATTAATGGCTAATGAGCATGAACATTTCTTTATATGTTTGTTGACTACCTGATGCCTTCTTTGGTAAAGGATCTGCTTATGTTCCCTGCCCATTTAAAATTAGATTATTTGTAACATTGTATTTATATTGGTGAAGATTTCTTTTGAATGAGAGATGGTGGCAATTATTTGCTGTGCTGGAGTGAGTTATTTTTAGTTGTGTGTGCGTGTGTGATATTTATGGTTTTTGTTGTTGTTTTGTTTTCAGCCCTTACAGCTCTAGCCTTGCTGAAAGGTAGAAATGCATATTTCTTAAATTCCATTTTCTTAAGTTTCTTGTGATATAGGGATGTTTTAGGATTCTTTGATAGCAGTCAGCCAATGTTGACCTTCACTGTCTATTTTAGGTTCATTTAAAACTCTTGAAATGAAGGCATCAAAACCTGGCTGGTGGCTCCTAAACACAGAAGTTGGAGAAAATCAGAGAGCAGGGATGCAAACGCAGTTCCTCATCATAGACCAAGGTAGCACCTAAGGGCCATGTAAAGTTTTTATTTGTAGAATACTTGTTACTGGAATAAAACAAACTTTAAGATTGGAAATATTCAACTCTGGGATCTCTGATGAGATAGAGTCATAATGTGTAGCCATTATTACTTTTATTCTGGTCTATGGTCTCATTGCACTGCAAACACATTAGTTATTTAGTAAATTTAAACCAAATGATTCAGTTCAAACATGCTCCTCTCAACTGGGGAACAAATGTAAAAGTATAGTTTTTCATGATTTTTGTCCCATGGTACAGTGAGCCAAGAATGAACAATGAAAATCAGCATTTTCAGGTCTATAGCTCTCAGCAAAAAATTGACATAAACCTGTGGCAAGATCAGAGACTCTGATTACTTACAGAGTAATTCAAATGAAGAGATACATGGTAAGATGTCATCTTACACTGTTCTTCTTTTGGCTTTCATCCTAGGGTAAGCTGCTAGATCTCTTCTACACACATGTAGTACCCTGATGCTTCCTAGGTAAAAGGCAAAGGGACAAAGGATATATATATCTTAGACTGAAAGGGTTTATGTACTGGGGTGTGTAGGAAAAAGGGAAGGGGAGAAACAGTGAGGCACACCTTGACACTGTCTGTGGTGGTTTGGTGGTTACTATCTGCAGTTTTGATGGTATCAAAGCAAGAATGTATTCCCTCCCTTTCTGGGAACTAAAATTAGATTGTGCCACATGCAATTATATAATTAATCATATCCCTTACCACTAAGACTCTGTAGTAGGTGGTCTACTTCCTCAAGGGTCCATTCTTTTAGTAAAATCTCAGTGCAAAGGTCTTACAGGCAGTAAATGAAACAGCTTTCTACTGCCTCTACACATGGATAACTTTGTAAGAAGTTCTCCAGACTCTGAGAGCAGCGAAGGAAAACAATACCAAGAAGTCATCAATGACTGAGTTAGACACTTAACTTGGTATCTGAATATTCAGGAGATACAGTTCTCAGCCATCTATCCATCCATCCATTCTTAAAGCATTTACTACATACCTATAGAGTACCAAGCACTGTGCCAAACATCCTGGTCATATAATTGCTAGCATTCCCTTCCTTGAACAGGATATAAATAATGGGATAACTTTCAGGTGAACTTCTAAGAACATATTCCCATGATATACAGCATTTCATGCTGTAAAATGGCTTGCTCTCTGATGCAAATGGATGAAAATCAGTTTAGGAACCAACTGCATTTTCTCTACTTAATTGAAAAATCTAGGATAGGCAAATGAATAGATAAAAGTAGATTAGTGCTTACCAGTGGCTAGAAGGAAAAGGCAATAGAAAATTACTGCTTAAGGAGTACAGAGTGTCTGTTTGGGGTGATAAAAATGTTTTAAAATAAGTATGTAGTGGTGATGGTGGAAAAAAATCAGTTCCATTTCAGGATTTCAGTTGTTGTTTTTCCTAAAGTGTCGCTATTTTATTAAGCTCCAATCTTACTAGCCCATTGACTATTTTATGATCAGACATATTTAAGCTAGTGCCATAAAAGATAGATGAGAAGTTTTCATCAGAGGTACAATCTCTAGCCATTAAACTTTTATTTGGTAGATGGATTTTCTAACTAAAATTTATTCATTTGCTATTTTTCATAGAATGTAAGATGCCAATGGGACTAAGCACTGGTATTATATCTGATCCACAGATCAAGGCTTCTGAGCATATAGGTAAGCAGCATCATAGCCCTAGTAGAGTATGGTAGTGGTGGTGTACTGTGGTGTCGGTTCTGACTCATAGTAACCCTTTATAGGGTATCCTAGGCTATAAATCTTTATGGGAGCAGAAAGCCTCATCTTTCTCCCAAGGAACAACCAGTAGTTTCAAACTGCTGACCTTGAGATTAGCACCTGACTCATAACTAGTATGCTATCAGAGTTCCTCCACCACTTGTCTGTCAGTTTGTCATACTGTGGTGGCTTGTGAGTTGCTATGATTCTGAAAGCTATGGTATTTTAAATACCAGCAGGGTCACACATGGTGGGCAGAGTTCAGATGAGCTTGCACATGAAGACAGATTAGGAAGAAAGAGTAATGAACTGCTTCCGAATATTTAGTCACTGAAAACCTTGTGAATAGCAGAGAAACACTGTCAGATATAGTGCTGGAAAATGAGCCCCTCATGTTGGAAGACCCTCAAAATACGACTGGAGAAGAGCTGCCTCCTCAAAGTAAAGTTGAATGTGATGACGCAAATGGAATAAAGCCTGAGGGGCCTTCATTTGCTAATGGGCACAACTCAAAATGAAGAGAAACAGCTGTAAATATCCATTGAAAATCGGAACATGGAATGTGCAAAGTATGAATCTGGCAAAACTGCAAGTTGTCAAAAATGAAATGGAATGCATAAAAATCAATATCTTAGGCATTAATGAGCTGAAATGGACTGGTATTGGCCATTTTGAATCTAATGACCACATGGCTTACTATGCCGGAAATGACAAATTGAAGAGGAATGGTGTTGCATTCGTTGTCAAAAAGAACATATCCAGATCAGTCATGAGGTACAATGCTGTCTGTAATAGGATACTATCCATGCGCCTACAGAGAAGCCCAGTTAATACCACTATTATTCAAATTTATGCACCAATCACTTAAGCCAGTGAGGATGAAATAGACGAATTCTACCAACTTCTTCAATCTGAAATTGATCAAACATGCAATCAAGATGTATTGATCATTACT